CAGTCGCGAGTCTGCCGGCACGCGGCCGCCCGCTGCGACGCGGATGACGTCGCCAGGCACCAGCTCGGAGGCAGCGATGACGCACAACGCCCCCTCGCGCCATACCTCCGCGTCGTTGGGCTCGTACGCCTTGAGCGCCTCGATGGCCTGCTCGGCGTTCGACTCCTGCCACACACCGACGACGGCATTGAGCAGCAAGATGAGGACGATGACGAGCGGCTCAACGAGAGCATGTAGGCGCTCCCCGGCCTCCTCGCCCATTGCCAGGCAAAATGAAACGGCCGCCGCTCCCACCAGCATCTTGACGAGCAGGTCGTCAAACTGTGCGAGGATGAGGCGGAGCCACGGGGTCGGTGGCTCGTCTGGGATGGCGTTCGGGCCGTGCAGGACGATCCGGCGCTCTGACTCGGCGCGATCCAGGCCGACGGAGAGGTCGACGTCGAGGCGCTTGGCGGCCTCCTCGGCCGTCAGCGCCCATGATGCGGTGGATGCCATTCCTTACTTTGCCACCTCGAGTCGAATGATGCGGGAGCAGGCTGCACCGCGCTCCGGCTTGTGGCGCGAGGGCAACTTTCTACAGTTTGAAGAAAAACGCCCGCACATAAACGCTCAACCGGCACGGGCGAGTGGCCAGAGCCCATCCTCACCAGCCCTGCCCCGCAGCGCGGCCGCTCGCCAAGCCCCGTCGATGAGTGGTCAGATGGTTAGTGCCCGAGAGCGAGGGGTCCGGGGGGAGCACAAACATAGGACGCCCAGCCTTGCCCCCGTGCCGCCGAGTGCATATCCTATGCGAGAGAGATCCCCTGTGCCCTGTGCCCAGCCCTCTCCGCGCGGCGATGCGCCCTCCCCCCTCGCTTTTGCAAAATCCTGCAAAGGTGGGGGCGTGTCTGTCCTCGACCCAGCCCTAGCTTGGGATGTCCGTTGTATTTATTTATTTATTCGGAGGGGCCCGAAATCGCACAGAGGTTGCTCATCACTCATTCCCAAATTTCCCCTCTCAACCACAACCACCCGGGCGGTAAAACACATGGCGACCGTCTATACGTGGAAGCGCCTGCGGCTCGTGTCGAGCTCCGGTTTGTGCTTCCACTCGTACTCGCCGTGCTGCGTATCGAAGGTGCCAAGCTGGAGAGACTTGAGCCGCAGCGTGAAGCGCGGGCCGAGCTCCTGCAGCCGCGCCGAGACCTGCCCCCGCTCCTCCTTTTGCTCAAAGATGTACCGGTGGTGGCGGAAGAAGACGAAATCGCGCTGGTTGTGCATCGTCACAACCTGCCGGCCGCGAAATTGCGGGTCGTGCGGGAATAGGCACGCCTAC